TGATGTCACTGAAGGCCCCTCAGGTATTCCATCTTCCTACCCCTTCATTTCTTCTAACCTTGAGCCTTTAGCTCACACTTCTTCTTTTGCAGGTCCTTCTTTGATGCATCAGCCTGATGCTCAAGAAGTGGAAGAGGGAGAAAGAGAGAAAGATGGTGGAGGAGAAGAAGACATTGATGATGACTATGATATGGCATCAGATATCAAGCTTCTCCTTCCAGCCGTTGATACCGTCCTCTCCAAGGTCAATGAAGTTCACCAAGAGATGCCCCGCCAAGGTGATCTTGATGCGAACTTCCTAGTCCTCCAGGCGGACGTTCAAGAAGTTCAGAGTCAGCTCCAGACTCTCCAAGAAGCTGTTCACGCCAACAACGACGCTATTGATGTTCTTCACAGCAGGGCTGACGATGCGCAGGCGATTGCTGATCAGCAACTTGGACTTCTTCAGCAAATCATGGATGTCCGTCAACCAGCTCCAGTAAGTGCACTTTCATTCTCTGCCCATGATCGCGCCCAGCTCCATGAGACGCGTGAGGCAACGACAACTCTAGCCAATGTTTTGCAAAGGCTGGAGGCTTCCATGGTTCTCCAGCAACAGCGCTTGGACGAACTCTCTGGCCAATTCTCTCAAGTCTTAGCTAGAGAGGGGGAGATGAGGTCCAACGCTGATGGATCATCAGATGCTGCTCTTACAGCTTCTCAGGCTGTTGGTCCAGTATCAGCTTCAGTTGCAGTAGTAGCCGAGGCAGTTGAAGCTGAAGCAGTTGCTGCTCCTGTAATCACGACCACCGAAGCTGCTCAAGTGGAGGTTGTCAAAGCCATCTCTAGGGATGATGTCCATACCGTCACTAATGCTGGTGATGATGACGATGATGATGATGATGTTGATGTGGATGAAGAAGATGATGATAAAGACAAGGATGAACCTGTCATTCCAGACACCGGAGATGATCTAGATGGTGACGACGACGACGATGATGAAGATGACTTAACCATCAAGTTCCAGAAGCCATCAACCGTCACCAGAGGTGTTGCCCTCTGGGAAGCTCAATCCCAGGGGGATCAAAGACAAGGCGAATCGACTCCATCAGAGCACCAGGACCCCAAGTCGAAAGGCAAGACGGTCGCTGAAGAAGACAACTTGAAGGTACTTTTTGCAAGCCCTCAACAAACCTTATTTGAAGACTCTACCTCTCAGGTAGTGATCACTTCAGAGTACCAACTTCACATTCCTTCAACAACCTGCGGTCGACTGGAGTGGGTATCTAATCAACCCAGCTCTTATACTCCAACAGACCAGCAGA